CCCCCCACCCCACCCCCCGCCCCCCCCCCCCCCCCCCCCCCCCCCCCCCCCCCCCCCCCCCCCCGACCCCCCCCCCCCCCCCCCCCCCCCCCCCCACCACTCCCCCCCCCCCCCCACCCCCCCCCCCCCACCCCCGCCCCCCCCCCCCCCCCACCCCCCCCCCCCCCCCCCCCCCCCCCCCCCCCCCACCCCCCCACCCCCTCCCCACCCCCCCCCCGGCCACCTCCCCCCCCCCCCCCCCCCCCCACCCCCCCCCCCCCGGCCACCCCACCACCCCCCCCTCCCCCCCCCACACCCCCCCCCCCCCACCCCCCGGCCCCCCCCCCCCCCCCCCCCCCCCCCACTCCCCCCCCCCCCACCCCCCCCCCTACCCCCCCCCCCCCCCCCCCACCCACCCCCCCCCCCCCCCCCCCCCCACCCCCCCCCCACCCTCCCCCCCCCCCCCCCCCCCCACCCCCCCCCCCCCACCCCCCCCCCCCCCCCCCCCCCCCCCCCCCCCCCCCCCACCCCCCCCTCCCCCCCCCCCCACCCACAAAAAACCAACAACAAATACAAAAACCAACAAAAAAAAAAGGAAAGAGTTGTACAGAATCCATTTCTACTTGCTCTATAATACAGTATTCAGTATATATATATATATATATATATATATATATATATATATATATATATATATATATATATATGTAATAAATGGATTCATGTGATACAGTAAAATCTCCGTAAATTGATCACTCAAGGGACTCTAGCATGTGACCAAAATAGAGATTCGGTCAACTTACCATGGCCTAGTTCCATAGTGAACGTTCAAACAAGAAAGAAAAACGACAAACTTAGAAAGGTGGTCAATATCGGAGGTTTTACTGTACAATACTTCCCATGCGCTCTCCTGTTTTATGATTGCAAAGCGTTAGTCAGTAACCGCCACGATACAGTGCATCACAGAAGTTTTGTGACATCTGGGAGCCTTTTGCGCATACATTTGCACTGCAAGTGCACTTGAGGCTAGTCACTTGATATTGGGTTCTCCCAAAATCAATTGTCCTTCTTTCGCCGCCATCCCATAATTTTCTGGAAGCCTCTGGAAGATTCTTATGTATGAATATGTAAGAGGTCATATTAGAACCATAATCTTTGTTGTTCCTTTATCCTACACCTTAGCAATAGCTGCGATATTGGCAAATGATCAACATAATAATAAAAATTATTAATGATGATGATGTCCGTATAGCTTCTAAGTCCTATGAGATACATAGGCGCTATGCGAAGAGTCCTAGCCCATGTGGCTAGCCATTGTCCCCTGCACAGTTCGTAACTGGCATTGCACTGGAAGAGCAGCTGGGCTATATCATAGGCAACTGTCAATCACGCAGGTCCGTGGCTGTCACCCATGGCGAAATGGCATTAGCTGCTGGCATCCTGAGGTTATGGGGACGGAATTTGGCAGGGTCCGCTGGGAGACGCACCACTGACGAGACCCAGAAGGTCGAAACGCCGGCTTCTGGTGTTTTTCCAGACTAGCCCAAGCCTGCTGATTGGGAGTGACAATGATCAATTAGCTGAATAATAAAATAATGTGTCAATTGTGCACCTAACGGTACTTCACCACCAGTCGCGGACGGACTGAATATGCTGCGTGGAGACCAACCCGTACGCGGATTTGAACCGGCGACCTTATGCTTGCAAACCAGGCGCACAGACCACTCGGTCAAGGCCGACAAATGATCAACATGCTGTTTGCGGATGCTTGTTGTACGAGTTCCTACAAGGGGGAAAGCGGTTTAGGCTTGTCGGAACATGTGTGACATACTAGGCATGGGTGCTTCAAGTTAAGGTATGGTGAAATGTTGCTTTCTTCGATTCAAACTAGGTTACTACCAATTGTTAAACATCGGAGGTCCAGATCACAAGCTGGCGGATTTCCTCAGCAGCATCCAGGGCGCTCTAAAGCAGACTCCCATACAAAGTGTGCGTAATGTTTCGTCACGCCTTGACTTTCTAAAAGCTACCGTTCATCTCCATTTGCGCCAATCAGAAATGGTCACAAAGATCGGACAACTTGTACTGCACGAATTGACCGATTAGCAGCTCTTTAACCGTTATGTCATCGCATTTTCATTGCTCACCGAAGGACGCAATCATTGATGGCTGAACGATGTCGTTACTGGAGACGACAAGTGAGTGCTCTATGTCAGCCATAGCAGGAAGCGTCAGTAAATCGCAGCAGAGGAAACGCGAGTTCAAGTCTCGAAAGACGAACTGAACTGCAAAATCTGATGCTGTCGGTCTGGTGAGGCCACCACGACGTCATCTATTGGGAATTTCTACCTGACAATTCCACGGTTACTTCGCATGTCTACTGACAACTACTGCAAAAGATGGTCGACGAACACCGGAAAAATCGTCCGAGAGCTGCTAAACTCTTTATCCTGCATGACAACACACGTCCTAAGTGTGTCAAAGATGATGCGTATTAAAATTCACCAGCTCGGTATCGGAACGCTTATGCATCTAGCATATAACCCGAACCTTTTCCCTACTGATTACCACCTTTTCTGCTCGCTGCAAAATCACATCAAGGACGAAAAATTCGATAACAGTAGCCATATTGAAACGTACTTTGTCCAATATTTTGACAGACGGCCCAGCTCGTCCTAAGAGATTGTCATCTACAGCTTGCCTGAGCGTTGGTAGTACGACATCGATAACAATGTATTGTTACGGAGATTAAATATTGTTGTTTGTTTTGAATAACTAGTGCTTGTAAAGTGTGCTAAAAACGCTAATTGATTTCTGGACAACCTAATATTTTGCATCAAACAGTCCTTGGCCGCATTGGAGCGTTTGTTGTATTCCAACCGCTTGCACTGGCTAGGTCTTCTTTCACAGTTTTTCCAACCAGGTACCTCGTTGTCCATTTCTGGGTGCATGCACTAGATGATAACTTAACGCTACAAAGCACATGAACGAATTCATAGAAGGGTCAACTAGGACTAATGCCACCGAATCGTCCGCACCATTGGTCGCATACCCTATCGATTGTGATGCAGTCAAAAGTTAGTGGCTCTCTTGCATTCCTTCCTTTTTTATATGCAACTACTGCATATGACAGTGGCTCCGGACTGCTCCGTCAGGCGATTTTTCTCCTTCGTCCGTATTTTTTGAATCAAAATTCTTATTTATTATTGTATTGGCGACGTAAGTCAAGGCGGCTGCATCAGCCGCACTTCCCCACATGGTCATAGTTGGCTCCCGAATTGAATTACACCGATATTTTTAAACTAAGGTTTCGGCTTCAATTTGTAACCCTTATGCTGTTCGCAGTTACTGGTACAAAAAGCCAGTTAACCTTTCAATCCTAGACGCCAGCTTATTTTCACCCCTAATTTGCTAACTCTATGGGCACTGAGTCTCTTGTCATCAGTCTTCACTCTAAAACAACGGTCATAATTTAATGAATTTAAGCTCCGGCAGATCGTGGCATCACTCCAGATTACATTCTGATAACGTTTCAACGCACTGGTACGTTCGAAACCGCAGGCTATCTTTATGTTCAAAACGTCGATCCCTAGTTTAATCTATGGTTCTTTTTATTGATCCCTTTATAGGATGTTTGTCCAGGCAAATAAACATTTTGCTACCTCACCACGTCAACTTGTTTCGGAATCGATTCATTGTTGTTGCAATTCGGGTCATATGTTTTGTAGTTCTTTCTTGGGTTTAGGGAACTCTGCCCCGCTGGCTCTCTTATACCCTTTTTGCTCTCAAGCCTTTCGGCTCGGATCGTCGAGCTTGAACATCAGGCGAATGACCTTTGGGATCGGCTTGAAAGGTGCACTTGTAACTGCCTCCAACGATCGCGCTCGCAGTCGAGATCTATCATCGAAAGACCTGCACCGTTGATCTTCAGAAGTATCTCCCCAAGCCCCATCCTGGAATCAAACGTGAAGGAATGCAATGCCGGAACGTTCGTTCCTCACTGGCGCTCCACAGCAGTCGGGTGTCTTTTCATCGACGACGAGCTCATTGACCAGCCCCTCCTGGGCGCTTGTTCCGACAGTCCGTCTTTTCGCTATGAGGACACATTGGGTCAAATTGATCATGGGAAGAACCCTCACAGGAGCTCACACATCACATCACTTCGACAGACGCGTTCTTGTACTTCTTCACCTTTCCCGTTTGAGACATCTAACCCTGGTCATTTTTCAGTGCAAAGGTGCAAATATCATAATAGATTCGGATCGTCTCTCGTTCCAGGTGAGCTCTACTTCGTTCATCTTCTGCTTTTTACTGCAGACAACGCTGTCACTTTGTTAATGGGTGCGTGGTTCTTTTATCTACATCAGCCACTCCCTATTTTTGAATCCAGCTAGGAACGCAGCCTATTTCTACTTTCGTGGTCTACTCGTCACTAGCTCCAGATGATCTTACATATGGTTCGATGGTTTGCCGCGCCTCATTACGTTTCATTTGGTCTTTTTGTTACTGGGATGATTTCCTCATCACTATCGGTGACTTTCACTGTTGTTTTAGCGGATACACTCAGTGGGTTCACTTGAAACTATCCACTGAAATCTTCGTGACTCTGCTGCTTAAATGTGCCGGTATCCCTTTATGGTGCCTTAGTTTGCACTTATGCCTTTCTGTACGCAGGGGTTCGTTCTGAAACTGCAAGGCTAATTTCTACCGTTTTCGACCAACGAAGGCACACGTGTATCCGTTTGTCGTGGTCAGTGTAACTGATCTATGCCGTGCGAGTTTTACCGATGTTTCGCCTGCTGGAGTTGCGTCTATTTGGTTGGGCTCGTGACCACTGAAGTTATTTCACCTATTGCAGAAGCTATAGATGGCTACTTGAATCTAAGACATCTGTCGCGTCAGGTGTCCGGGACAGTAGAATCCCCTAGGAAAACTCCTTATTTACAAGGGAAAACGATTCGAACCAGCGGCGTGCAACAGAAGCATCAAGACGTTTCAGGAATGTTCGCATCAGGAACGTTCACGTCTACGTGAAAGACTGTGCACGTTAACTTGACAGGAAATGTGTGGCAGAATGACAGAACAGAGCAAATAAAAATATGTTTTCTTTGTGATATAGTGTGAGAATGATCCTGAGTAATTGTAGGTGTTTATTAAGGGGTAATAACAGATTAACGCTGAAAGTGATAGAGAATGTACAAAATAGACGGGAATATGCGGTGGATTAGCAAAACTGAGCAAATGAAGTAAAGTGATATATATATATATATATATATATATATATATCTACGCCGGACGTCGCTTCTGTCACAGTAGGTTATTACTTTCCTTCTATAACTGGACTCGGAGGGATCCGCACTCAACGTGGGTGCATAGCGACAACGGCTTGTCCTTTGAACATCACTATTGTTTGCTGTTGGTTGCCCCATACCTAGCTGCACCTAAGTTCTATGTTTGTTCGCAGTTGAATTGTTCTTTTGCTTATTGTTAGCCCTTCCTTATTCCTGTTGCATGGATCTTATCCCTAATATTGTGACTTCACACACTGAACCGCAGGGCCGGTTTGGCCCCTGTTCGGGCTCAGGTAGAGATAAGGATATTTGGGGATTGTACCTGGGTCATGAATACATCAGACGCTCCTGACTTTCCAGTAGGTGTACTTTTTGCCTGTGTGCAGAATTCCATCTCAATCTCATGCATTTTTCGCCCCCACCCAATTCCACTCTCTGTATTTTTTGCCAGTCGTGTGTGTCGATGGTTCGCTTGGTGCGCTTTCTTCCAATGTGGATCAACCTAAGCCTGAAGGCTCTTCTACTGGCAAGGTCAGTCTCATATACATACATTACCTCAGGAGGCCTGTCTGAAATCACATAATGCATTAGAATGTGGCACTATTACAATAGACTCAGATGACATCACACATTCGGGAAAAGCATTATATAGTCTATTGTAATGGTCATTTCGAAGCGCTCGTTGTATGAATAGATTGCGCCACACAATCTCAATGAGGATCGCGATGTGCATTGAACCGAATCTTAGCCATTTCTTCCTTTTCCGGATTCGTCAACAATTCCTAATCCATAGTCTATGCTCTGTTGAAACTCACAACACCCTATGCCAATCGAAGGTTTTGGTTTATGACATGATTGTCTTTGCAGGAAAACTTATGTGCACGTCAGTTCACGATAAACCATGAGGTATTACAAATATTTGCAGAATTTTGTTGGTCTTTACTTTCCTCTGTGTTTTAGCGTGTTTAACTCACTTACAGGGTTATGATTGCGAATTCTTCCCTCATCTCGGAGCAACTGGAATGTGAACGGGTGACGAGTCATGTAACTAAAGATTGGCCATCTACTTTTTTCTGGATATACTATGGTCATCATCTCACTGAGTTTAGTTGTGATCCGTCCCATCCACCGTTACACTGCTTTGTTTGTATCTCCTCTAGTAATCGATTGTTCTCGAAGAGATAAGTAAGACGAGCCGAACCGTCGCGACTCGCGTCAGCTGTCCATGAGGATCTTGTGAAAACCACAGAGGTGCTAGCATCACTGCATCCTAACTACACACTTTGATCTTTATGCAGGATCTTTATTTCCCTCGAGAAAAGTGTTATTCGGGGTGAATTCTCTTAATATAACGCATTTTACGTTACACTAACCGTTTGAACACCATTACGAACCCAAACATTTGCACAGAATTCTGCCTTCGAATCAGCCATTTGTACCTGTTCATGACAATGTCTAGTTTCAGAGGGCTCAACGCAGCAATTTATTTTTACTCCGACGTTAACATATCGAATCTATGGGATTTGCCCATGTTTACAAGAAACTCTCATCTCATCATCTTTATACATATCAGCTGGAGGTGGGAAGCACCTCAACTCCCTTATCGCAATGAGGGAGAAATTAAAAAGAACGTGCAGCAGATGCGCACCAGCTGAGCCACTAGTAACGAAGGCACAATGTTCCCGAGAGCTAGTACCCGGCTATGGTGCCGCAAAAATTCTATTATGTCTCAACAATAAGGTCGTTTGGAAGGGAAGGGAAAAAGAAACTCAGTGCAAACGCCATCCAGGTCTACTCCTAACCATAATGACAAGTATATCCAAGCAAACGTGTTCATGTTCGATAATCCGATTCGTCGAACTTCCGTACTAAGGTTCAGATCGCCAACAGGCAGCACTGTCATTCTTTACTCTCTTGGTATTGAAGTGCTGTGTATGCAAAAAGCGCACACAGCATAACAGCACCGTGACGAATTTTGGATTACATGCTTCTGAATCTGTCTACAGTGTCTACACTATTCGCATCTCTGACGATACCGAGTAAATGACTCAAAATATTTATGCTGTCGGTATCGCTCTCGGCAAACTTAGAAAGACAATCTACTCGACTTGATATCAATCACTGTATAGCCGTTTGTGCGTGATTCGTATTTCAGCTCCCAATGAGGTTACTTAGCACCGACTGGAGACAAGGCGCACTTTCATCGCTTCCGTTTATGCCCGCGCTGGCTGCAGTTCAAAATGTATCGAAGACGATCTCTGTCGTCAGCTCTCATCTCCTATCCGTATGATGGAAATATTGACATCGTGATTGATGCTGATGACATTAATGACCAAGTGGGTCGCCTTCCAAAATCTGAACAGCATTTGCATGGCTGCTTCTGCTGCTGCTGCTGGATCGATACACGCTGAACAGACAATGGCGACCGATTCCTGCCGATCACAATCTTGACACTATCGGCATTGCTTACCAGCATAAACGTTTACACTGCGTCAGTTGACGCTCATCAAATTCCTCGATGACCTCTACCCAAACTGACCATATTGCCATTAGCTACAGATGACGCAGATTAGTACAAGTCTGTCGATCAATCTAGAGTACGCAACTGTGTAACGGTCATGCCCTAGTTTGCGCACACCTGGCACTCTCTTCGCGCTTCGTAGATGCGCCGAAATTGTAAGCATCTCACTTGTAACAGTAACCCACATTCCGCAGTTTAACAATATCAACGAACTGGCCCACCAATTGTCATTGATGAATGGGGATGGTGTCCGGAGTCACCTCAAGTGCGTTGTGGGGAATACTTTGACGCATGTTGTACGCCCAACTCGAGACGTCCGAGCTGCAGTACATGGCTCTGTAAGGCATCGATCAATCTAATCGATGCAGACAAGCTGGTTCCAGTGCGTGCTGTTTTAGCGTGTCCGTAACGCCCTAAAACGACGACTGATAAGGCTTCTTCGAATTGCCCAAGAATGTTGGTGATCGGATAGGGCACGTGAGATGGCAATGGTAACTCTCGAGCGAAAAAACCCTCATTTGATGAGACAGTAACTTAGCAAGATGGAGCGTGGTTTCATTCTCAGTCACATGGACTAGCCTGTTGGGCGGAATATTTCGAAGAGCAGTTCATCGCGCCTGCTGAGGTATGGCCGTTAGCTGAATCGCCTGAGCTCACAGCAACCTCCTCCTCCTTCTCACCATCATCAATTATCATCGTCGTTATCAGCATCGTCGTCGCCATCATCATCATCCTCATCATCAATACAAGTTAGCTGAGGGTGAGAATAACACCTCAGCTAATGAGCCGCAACACAAAGTTAATGTACAAAGAGTTACAGTATAGAAACGTTCAAAAGCAGATTTAATGTTAAATATTATATCACATATTAGACATAAGATCGCGATTGGAGGGGAATCTAAAAGGGAGGGGATGAACAAAGAAACTCACAACACAAACGCCACTGGGGTCACCTCTTCGCCATATCAGCAAGTGTGTCCAACCAAACGTGTTCATCGTCCTTAGGACCTCTGTTAGACAATTGGGATGCACCAACCGACGCCAACTTCGAAGTGAGGGTTTTCATTTCTCTCGACCAAGTCATCGCTTGGTCTCCCCTCCTCCTCTTCCAACAGCATCCCCGGCGCGAACAATGCATTTCGCGGGAGTCGGTGTACTGGCATGCGCAACACATGTGCTCACGTGCGTAGTTGATAACATACCTCCCACTTTGGAAGAGATTCGACATGAACTCGCCGTATCGAAACAAAGCAACGCTTCTGAACCCGAAGACTCCTCTCAATCTTTGCTGAAAGATGAAGATGTCTCTTTGCTGATCGGACTTGCTGGATTATTCAACACTGTTTGGATGACTGATTAGGTGCTTTCAGAATGGCGATCGTCATCTATCCTAATCTTCCAAAATAGTCATTGTACCTTTGACAAATTCGTTTTCTCGCTTCTTTTTTGGCTCACGTTTCTCCATTTCCTCTTCACGTTCAAGCTTATTTTTTCAGCATTGTTATTTATTGTCAGCCTGTCGACGCGAGTCCTGGCAGCTAGACCTACCGTGCCTTCGGTGCCTTGACCATGCTTGTTTAACTGAACTGGACTGTACCGATATCTGCGAACCTTTTTATATATCTTTTGGAAGAACGACCGGTTAGGTTTTTGTAGGAGATTCGCTGGCTGTGCACTTGGGTGCCAGTTTGACTCTTACCTAAATTTCCTAACTTTTTGTTCTACAATGCGTTGTTTAGTAATGCTGCACCTTAATGTGTGCGTGAAAATCCATTTGCTATCTGAGGCGGTATGTTGCTTTAGAATCGGCCGCACTACATCATAAATCTCCCGGATAAAAATGGCGCGTTGTTGTTGGTTTTATTGCGTACGTTTCGTTGCTTATATCCGATGATCATCCCTGTTTTTCCACTTTTCTGCTTTATATTCTGTTTTCTTTTCTTGTACATACCTATGGTTTTTTTTGCTTCTACTTCATATTGGTGTTCATCGGGGTCACCGCATTTTGTTGATGCATCGTCTGCTGCTATTCAACTGAACTGTGATTGAGATTATCTTTTACTTCTCAGCTGTCTCGGAAATTGTTTTCTTCTCCATTAGACCTTCCATGTCAACATGTTTTCCTCAATTGTCCTATCTTCTACTTAATTCTCTTTTACAATACGCTTCTTCGCACTCTATTTAGTCAAGTGGAGTCCGACGGCCGCTATTATTGTAGTTATGTCTGCGTGCACTCGGAGTACTCATTTTATTTCTCTTACTAACCAGTACTTGCAGGTCGCTGTTTTACAGAGATTTAGTGATAGTAGGTTGATGTGTTTGTTGGACGGACTTAAGAATACACCTTTGTGCACCTTCAGAATCGGGACTTCGAATACATCAGGCGGAACTACTCTCTGCGAATAGCTACGGCTTGGGAAATTTTTATATATCTGTCAAATGGCGCTTCCCCTTGGCTACTGACTGTGATGGTAGCTGTTTACTCGGGTGAATGAATGTACCTAAAGCCATTAAATCAACAGCGAGCTGACCACGTACACACTAGCTAATAGGGATCTTGTATAATCCATGTTACCTAGCAGGAGCGAAGAACAACGTGGTTGCGGGCAAAGGTGTGTTGGATTAGCGCGGAAAACTGTGACGCGCCAACGAGCCTAGTTCGTCGACTCGTAGTGCGGTGGTGACTGGAGTACGGAACCGACACCGAACCGTCATCCACGTCATATGAATACGGGTGAACTGAGCAGATTGACAACACATCATCGACGCGACTTCGCACGAACCAATCTCAGTGTGACTCGGTTGAATGCTCAGAAAGGACTAACAGTGCATGCGGGCCAATGGATAAAATCGGACGATATGGGAGACGAAAACGGGAAATGACCAGCGAGTTTGTGCTGCATTGATGTAGCACTCTGTCTACAGCATAAATGATCAAAGGATTTCGATCGCTGCTCAAACTTATTAATCACTCAGATGGCTATTGGACATTAATGTTCACAGCTAGATAGCTAGTCTTGCAGAGCCCATGATACACATGGTGCACTCACCGACGGTTAGGCTTGGTTGTAGTGATCCGTTTGGAACTACAGCGATAACAGTGCGAGGGACATGGTCCATTTTGAAATATTATGGACGATATCAACAGGGTCGATCGCCGAAACATCGAAAGTCACCTGAACCTATCGTTATTAATCTAGTGTGCGGATGAACTGTCGAAATTTTGCCCAGCCTAATAATCGTCCGTAATTGGATGTTGGCTGCAACGTGAGACCATTTGTACTAGCGTGCAACAGGGCCAACGCAATGTGCATTGTGGTTATTAAACTATACTCCCACTCCTGAAAAGCCCATTTAAGTTGTCTTGTAACTGCCTTTCATTGTTGCACCTGACGCGCCATTCCATACACCTTAACGCCTTCATCTGATCTTACGAGTATTTTATATCAAAGAAGGCAAGTTGTTCAGCAGGTATATCAATTTGTTTATTTTTATCTCAAAAATTACTGTATCTCAATTCGTCACATGCATACGCTTAAGATTCTAAGCAGTGGTAGAAAGATTTGCTTAATTTAAATTGAGTTCGTTGATAAACTTGTTTTCCTGGCCATCGACATCATCCCTTACAAAGGATGCTCAGCTCAGCTTTCCTCCTTACGGTTTGCGAAGCGCTAACCAAATGTAACATAGGCCAAGAATGTTCACAATCTGGGCTCTTGGTTATCACTCTCATTTTATCGGAGAGAATACGCAATACTGGCGATTTCCACAAGGAACGCATGACCATCGCGTTATTTAATCCATGAGAATTTCGTTTTAGGGTCCTTCCGCTTCCTATTCATCTCACATCGCTCTGGTGGTGGGGACATTACATTTTTCATGTCTGTTTTGCACCATAGCACATTATTACGTTGATCGCAACGGATCCTTAGTGCTACCGGTACATGCTATCACTACTTCAACTGCCACCACAAACCTGATTAGTGTTACCACCACCACCACAACCTGGCTCATTACATCCGCAGACATAAAGAGGCTGCTTACTTTCGACAACCGGTACCTTCGCAGTTTGACTCACTGTGGGAGCAATGAGCGTGTTCGACGCCTTGTTTGTGGCACAGCAAAAAGAAGTGAACTGTTCGGCTCCGTTATTTCACGCACCAGGCTCCGATGACTGGGCCACCTGTTGCGCATGCCAGCACACTAACTCCTACGATGTGCGTTGTTTGCGCGCCAGAGGTGTGGATGGAAGAATAGGAGAGGCCAGCCGATAACTTGGTCAAGAGAAATTAAGGCCCTTGGTCCGCAGTTGTCCTCGGTTGGAGCCTCTCAGCTCTGTGGTTGGGGTCCGAAAGACGATGAACTCATTTGGGTGTATACACTTGCTGATGTGGCTAGGAGCCGACATCATTGGCGTTTGTGTTGTGAGTTCCTTTGTCCACCCCCCTCCGCTTAGCCTCCCTTTCGACCCACGATCTCAATTCATATGCATAATATAATCTTTTTGCGGCACAATAGCCGGCTGTTAGCTTTCCGGAACCATTTCCATCCGTTACCGGTGACTCAGCCGGTGTGCCTATGTTGCTTATTTTTTCTACTTTAAAACAGCCGTGTTTTCCATCTCTGGCTAACGTGTATGATGATGATGGCGATGATGATGATGTCACCACCATTACTGGGGTCGTACTACAACTTCTCTGTTTTTGATGCGTTATGATTCCTCTTTTCCCGTACTCCGAAAAGCGTGGGATCGAAATCCCATGTTGTCAACGTGCAAACTTATTGGCCACGTAACATTGTAATCGCGCGCGATGAGAAACGACTAGATCTCGTGTTCTTCCCCAACATTGTCATCACTGCACACTTACTTGCATTACACTTTGTTTGGCTGGCTGTTATCTCTTTTCTATTCACAGTCGAGTCGCCTCTACCAACCTGAACACCCTCAGCACTCAGAAATAATTATCAGTTCGGGTGATCATGAATCGAAGAACGACTCATCTGCTGAGGTCTGCTCACTGAACCGATCAGAGGTGTTTTGCTCCTCACATGCCCCCTTCCAACTGTCTGAAGATTATCAACCACAATACAAACAGCTTTTTCGTGATACCTTTCTTTTTCTTCAAAATGTGAAGTCAGCCAAAACTTTGTCTTCTAACAGTGCTTTCCTTGTAAACCCTTTGTAGGGGCTCTGAATACAATGACACTAATCTAACGATCAGCAGTTCCACGTTTCTGCTACGTGTTTGCCGATCTGCTTGGTGCTCTTACTCACATCCTTTGCCCCTTCTTTTTACGAATGTGCCTTTCAGTGTTCTCGCCATCCATCGTTCTTTCTCAATCCGCTTTCTCACAGTTGTTATGCACTACTATTTTTGATTACGTATTGGTCCTATTGATTTTATATCTAGAAGCAGGTTTTCTTCATTCGGTTATCCGTTTCACTTCCGTCTAACCACATCACCACCAAGCCTCCCTGGTCTTAACACTGCGCGGCAAGCCGCATGCCGCTACGTAGAGGTTCGGGCTTGGTACTTTGATGCTTACCTCCCTGCGGTAGCAAGCGACCGTACTCCCAACTGACGGTTCAGTTGTGATGATTTTTATACAGAATTTCGAACGCTTTACGTTGGTCCACTCGGTATCCCGTACTGATCAACTAGACGGTTCTTTCATTTAAATAGCCTCTATCTAGTATTTTTTGCTGAACGAATTCTGTAGATGTCTCTTCATTCGTTTTTCCAAGTGTCTAGTCGTTTGTCCAATGTACATAGCCCCACAAAAGCAGGTGTACCGGTAGCTCACTATTGATTAGAGATGTTCAAGCACTTTGAATCTTGGGACATGTAACGATTTCCTCGTATAATTCACGTTAATTTAAGCTACCTTGGAGGCAATGCAAGTTTGCACCGGTCTGTGTACAGACCTCAGCCGCTTTTTCCCTCTTAAAAGGGATCTTGAGGATTAGTCGTGTCTTTTTGACTGTTCGCACGGTGGATCTACGACTGCTGGGTTTCATGTGGGTATCAATGAAGCGCTCTGGACAATCATTTTCGGGAACGGTCTGTTTGGGTATAAATGTTTACCCTGGAAACGTCAATCCATCACCTCAGGAGATTGGCCCAGTTATGACCAACAGTGGAACAGGAAGAGTATAAATATTAGGAACTAGAAACAATGATAACAAATGAGTTATTTTCCAACGAGGTGAGATTCATTTCATCACATGTTGACTAATCATAGTGAATGTGAATGCTTCACAATTGTTTGATTAACTCGTAGTCGGTAGAGCATACAGGTAACATCCAGCGGTGTTTTCCGGAGCGAGTTCCGCTTAGAATAGGCAAATTGTTCCGTAAACGTTCCTATTCAAATTTCAATTCTTCGGACGATCGGTTGGGACAGCGTCACAAGCCAACATGAAAAGAATAACTATTAGTTGAATTACATTACCGATAAAATACAAGGATGGATAAAAAAAGCGCTAATAAAGGGGACACCTGATAGTGAGTTAAATCAATTGGAAAAGATGTAGATGGTCGTGAGCTTTTGTCTGCGAGTGTGATTGTGTTTATTCTGGTCAACCGTTGATATTTATAGCTGCGGAAAACAGTTCGAACGCGTATTTTGTGTTCTGCATTCAGCACATATTATCACGCCAAGTGTGATAATACTTGTGCTCCAGTCCAAACACATAGCGGAAAACTCGCTTGAAACGTGTCTCATGCGGCGTAACAAGCCCCCCCTCAGAGCTACGCCTAACAGCGTTCGACACCAGACCTCACATGATCAAGGGAGATCAAAGTCATCGGGGTCTAACCGTGACACCAATAAGTCTGATTTCCGAAACAGACAACTGCGTGGCACATTCAACCGTTGAAGAGGCAGCGATTTTCCAAATACTTCCTCTTGTGATCATTTTACCAGTGAGGGTATGCGGCTGTTCTCCGAGCTGACTGATTTGGCTGCAAACGTTTCCTCGTCAGACTAGACGACATCATCAGTGCGATTTATGCGGGCCACTTAGAGATCCAAGTCAATATGAAGCGGCTCAAGCTTCAGCAGTTCACCAAATAAACGATTAGCTGCTGATCTCACAAGAATCAGCAAAAGCTCGCATCTGTCACTCGCACCATCCGATAAATTTCTAACATTCGAAGCACTTCTGTATGTATGCCAATTCTCAGGGCGTCTTCAACAAATTATCCGATCTTCAGTCTCGTCAAGCCTGGATATCTATGGGCTTGCTAATGATAACTGAGAATTGGCTGAACGATGGAATCACTGATACGGAGATCGCTTAACCAGGTATGTCAGTACTTCGCAAAGATCGACCTAGTAAGAGTGGCGGCGTAATTTTGTGCCATCGCAATGACTTGCATCTCCAAGCCATTGACGGCCCAGCGATTCTAATTGCGTATTCACTTTAGTGCCGCTTGCAACTAAGACATGCTGACACATGTTTAGTTGCCCTTCTGTACCAACGACCCATGTCCACTGGAAATGGTTAGGCTGAGCCTAACACGTTCTCCTTGTGGGGACTTCAATCTGCACGCACTAGATTAGGGTCTCTCAAATTTTTTGACCCGCGAACCCCTTTTTAGTGGAGCGTCGCACGGCGGACCTCCTGACATATTATTAAGTACAAGATTAAGCTTTAATAAAAAGAAAGTAAGGAAACGCTTATTGCTGTACACTGAAAGCTGTTGAATTTAGGTAGAAAAGCAGCGTACGTTAAGGTTTAATTTGTTGAATGAAATTGCTTCTAACATACAACGCCGGCTAGTTTGATTTTTGGTGTTATTGTGGAAGGCTGAACCCTCATATCTGGTTTGGTTTCAAATTTATTGCGGGAATTTGATTTTGTATAGGTTTAATGCGAAAATGCACTTGCACGCAGGTAAGTTGTGGCAAATGGAAGCAGTATGGCGGCAGCTGTCTTCGCACTGACACAAGAAATCAGACGGCGACAATTTGTGAAACTCTTCCTAAATGGAAAAATCTGATATCTCGACGAATTTCTCGTACTGTCGGCCGGTGGCCGAACAGTTTGCATTCATAAGGTCAACGGTTCGAATCCGCGTAGGGGCAGGTGTCTTCGCTGTATACTTATCTCACGTGTGACTGGTGGTGTTCGCGTGGCAGCGAAGCGCAGTTACGGCGTACAGCTGACACATTATTTTTGTGACTTTCTCATACTGAAGTGATGTGCTAGAAGGAGACTTTTTCGTGCAACTAAATGGATTCTTCACCCATGAAAATTCGTTCAATTTTTCTTCGTCTTCGCTGGGGAAATACTGAGACAAGACTTCTACCAGATGCAAATAGAAATTGGGTGTTTCTCGCCCGAAAATACTGCATTACCATGACGCGTTTCGATGTTATTACAACTCATCAGATAGAGTTAGCAGGCATCGAACCCGGGGCCCTTGGGATGTTAATTGTGACCGCTACAGCTAAGCCACCGGGTCATGATGGGCGACGCTTGGCACAGCGGTATAATGAACGATGTTGAGAACCACTCTGAAGTACACGTTGTGTGGATAGATTGCGACGCGCATTCTCAATGTTCACCGCGATTCCCATTGAAGTGAACCTTGGCCTTTCGATCACGAGGACCGTAGCTGATGCAAATAGAAATTGGGTGTTGCTCGCCCGATAACACTGCACTACTATGACGCGTTTCGATTTTATCATAGCAGGCATCGAACCCAGGACCATCGGGATGTTAGTTGTGACCGCTACCCCTAAGCCACCGGGTGCAGTGTTTTCGGGCGAGCAACACCCAATTTTTATTTGCATCAGCTACGGTCCTCTTGATCGAAAGACCAAAGTTCACTTCAATAGGAATCGCGGTCAACATTGAGATTGCGCGTCGCAATCTATCTACACAACGTGTACTTCAAAATGACCCTCTACTTCTACCAGGTCTTCCAAACGCTACCCATTTTCCTCAAACTGCTCCGCTAGGATTTGTGTGCTCTGCTTCATCTCTCATAAAATATCTTTCTATACCAGAATGCTGTCGAGGTCTCCGATTCTAACAGAAATTGCCTAAATTTCTAACTTACTTTTGAGTTTTCGAATTTTATCATTTGTAATGAATATGGTCGCAGATTTTCCTTCTAATGCTAGGTTTACATCATTTGTTTTTGCTGAGACATCGGGCAAATAAGCAACTCATGTAACCCACTTTCTGTCAGTCATCAGGAAGTGTAAATTAAAATGGTGATCTATGAAGAAATCGAAGAATTCTATGCGAAATTCTGACGAACGCTGTAACAGTTTGCCACGGGATGTCCATGTTACCTCAGTATGTTTCAGTAAAGATCTGTGCGCACTTCACATGTCATCACACTGAATCTTGAAAGTCCATTGTTCAATGGTCGAAATTTACTGAAATTATTTTCACTGCCTCATTGAGCACCGTTTGGAGTTTGGGTGGAATTTCGCTTACTGCAAGTGCCTGTCGATAAAGAATATACTGGTTACGTAAGCAAGTTTTGATTCTTGTCACAACACCAGTAACCTTCCTTGTCATTGCTTTGGCACTATCAGTGAAAATATCGACGCAGTTGTCCCATGGAATGTTATTTTCAAGTATGAAATTATTATTTCAGCGTCACTAGTGTTCTTCCGTAGAGGTTCGCACAAAAGCATGTGTCTTCTTCCATGAATAGTATGTGTTGGTTTCTTACGAGCACAATCAGCACTGCAACTCTTGCCACATCTGTCGACTCACTCATTTGAAGAGCAGAGTACACTGGATGCTTGCGGTTGACTCTTCCTTAGCAGCAGTTGCTAGTGTCCTAATTCTTCAAATTACCGTGTCATTTGATAGTGGTATTAGAGACAGTTGTTTTGCTGATTTTTCATCCAATATGCACTTAGTCATTTCGACTGCACATGGCTTGGTAAGTTTCTCGGCAAGTGTGTGAGGTCCTCCTGTCAGCGTATACGTCAACTATGTAAGATGCCTTTTTTACGGTCATGGATGCGTGGAACATGTACTTTTGAGTGGTCAACATCTCATTTTGCCTGAGCATTAAGTACTACTTTTTACTGCCTTTACTTTTCGCATGTTTTTTTTCAAAATTTCGCCGCATTTTTGCAAGCACCGGAAGAACTTCGTTACGCAAGACACACTGTGCGCAATTGTTGGACTCCATAAATCCAACAGAAATATAAGTGTCCTTGTATTTCATCTCTTACCTGTTGGTACGCAGGCTTTGGTTGAGGCAGGTTTATGTTGCATGGCATCATGCGGTACAGGTACAACTAATTTCTCAGTTTCTGCACTCTCAGAGGTCACATTACATGGCCGAGCCATTACTACGTCAGAATTCGACGACAAATATTCCTGTGACACCTTTAGCAGTGTTCCAGTCTTCAGCCAACGGTCAATGTTGATGCTGTGTTCAAATGCTGAAATGTAAATAACTAATGCAACACAAATGTCC